ATATATATACCATGATCTATATTCTATATTTTCGAAATTCAGGTTTTTTAAATAAAATAAATAAAAGTACCATTAATCTTAATAATAAATAAGAGTACCATTAATCTTCGCGTTTTGAATTGCAAATTGTTTTTTATATGCGAAAAAAAATAGAATAATTTTGAAATCTTCCAAAAAATAGTCTTTTTTTTCCAAAATATATATTTTTCATTAATTTATCCGAAAAATTGTAGAAGAATCACAGTATAACACCAAGGCTTGCAAATATTGCGAAATTGCGTATTGAAATAATTTGCTTTTCTCAGGTTAAAAATATTATTATTTCATATTATTGGTACTTATAGTATTATTATTATTTCATATTATTGGTACTTAATTGGTAATATTAAAATAAATTATTCTCGTCATCTATTGCAGATAATATTCGAAGAATTTGCAAAAAAATAAATAAATAAATAAGATACTAATATTAATAATATCATAATAATATATATATAATTGATATTATCAATAATATTTATATGTATAATATAAATAATATCATATATATGTAATTTTTTTAGACATGTTCGAGCTCTTTAGTTTATATACTTCTATACTTGGTTGCCGCTTTCATAGCGCCACATTTTGCTTCAAAATGGGGTACTTTTTCATTGTACACATTAATTTGGTTATTGGCTATATTTCTCGATGGGTAATAAATTTTTGATTATTTTCATAATTTTTTTATATGTGAGAAAATAGAAATAAAATTCCACATTGAGCAATAATCTCCGATGATTGCTTGAAAATTTCAAACCTCTAGGCATTATGAAAATTTTTTAACAAAATAGATAAAAGAATTGATTACACATTGATTATTTAGCGCAAATTTGAGCTGAAATCGTATTTCAGAATGATTTTTACAATTTGTGAATGGAAGGTATTTCAACGTCGAAAGAGAGTAACACCGTTAAAAATTAAGAACGCAGATAAACATTAATAACTCGTGGCGGAACAATGAGATGGAGCCTCGCTAATAAAATTCCTTAGATAAAATTCCTTTTCTATTAATTAATTACTACAATTGCTACAATTTTTTTTTGCTTACTTATCACCTCTTATCTCACTGATTAACTTTATCTTATCTTTTGAGTTGCTTTTATTCTGGTTATCCACTCTTACTAAATCATATATCTCATAGTTCCCATAAAGAATATCATCAAAATTTGATAAAATAAAAAATTAAAAATTAAAATCTAGGAAATTTAGCATAAATTCTTCCATCAAATCAAAATCACAACTATTTTTACGCCTCCGTGGCTGGTAAAAAAATGTTTTTTTCGTCGTTAAAACATTTATCAGTTTTATCTTTATTCTTTAATATTACTAATAAATAAACAGGAAATAATCTTGCAAAATTTTAATTACACTTATAATTATGGCTAATAATAATTTTATTGCATTGAATGGAGCAATTTCGCAAAAAAATGTTGAGAAAAGAATTTGTTTTTTTACACATATTATTTTCAGAAAAATATAAAATCCGCGACAACAAATTTTTTCACAAAATTTTTAAATTTTTGGTGAAAAATACGAAAGATTGCGATAAAAAATCATAAAAATTTTCACATAAATCATAATAATTGAATAATTTGCAAATAAAATTTTCTCGCTTTATATATTTATAAGATATAAATTTAATAAGCTAAAATTCAGATTATAAAATTTACAATAATTATAAAAATAATTATAAAAAAAATATTTATATTTTTATTTTAAAATATAAATATAATATAATATAAATATTTTTAAAATACAAATCATTCTATCCTTCATTATCATAGAATTTGCCAATTTTTAATATACCAAAATAATCAACCAAAATTATTAATTTTTTGATAAAAAAATTGATTAGTGCTATTATCGCTAAAATATACACTAATAACTGTATGATCACGATGAAATGTTATTAATTTTTATGATCAATATTATTATCAATTATTGCTATTAATTTTATTATTATCTATATTAATTTCAGCCTAAAAACAATTACTAGTGCTTAGCTAAATATAGGGTTTAGAAAAAGCGAGGATTAAATTTTTAATAAGTGAAGTGATAAATTGAATGATAACAGATAAGAATTATTTCAAATTTTTATAAGGTAAAATGGTAAATTGATAAATTAATAATCATTTCAAAATCTTTTTAAAATAAATAGGTAAAAAAAGAGAAAATCATAAATAGCTATAAAATAGATAAAAATCTATTTTCATAAAAAAACTTCTGGATCTTTCTTTTCTCTCTAATTTGTTGATTTGCTTCTATTCGTGAAAAAAATTCTTGCTAATATTAAAACTAAAAAAAGATTTTCTTAAAAAAATTTTCAAAAAGAATTACCTCTTTTAAATCGTTCGAGTCTAATAAAAATAGTTATATTTTGGTTTTTCTAAAAGTCACGTCTTTCGAGTTTCTTGGACGAATAATTTACTACGACTCTAAGCGTTCTCGTTGAAATATCTATGTCAATTGAACAAATATAAAAAAATATTCATGTTTTTTTCCGAAATTCTTGAAAACCTCTTTATTCATATATCTAAATGCAAAACAGGATTTCTACTCACTGGAGGCTTTGGTATATAAAAAAATTCGATCTCCTGCATGAGTAAACCTGAAAATTCGGGTGATGCTGGCGACTCATCTGTATTTCTTTCGTTAAGGAACTTCCTTGCATATTAGCCAATGCGACAAGTCAGTGGAGTGAGTTTAACCAGTAATGATAAGAATTCTTTAAAAAAAAAGAGATATTTTTCACCTATAAATAAATTCACCTATAAATTCAGTCAGAAATTTTCTTTCGGTTAAATGATCTGATTTTATTTCGCAAATTCTGCCATATTTTATGCATTTTACAGTGCCTCATCTTTTTTCTTGTGTCCGACAAGAAAATAGTGTCTCCACAGCCACCATCATACTTTTGAGAAATGATTTGATCTCTTTTGAGAAATGACTTGATCTTATGAAATTTTGTTTTGGTGAGTGAAGACGCTATGACACCATTTTTTTGCACAATAATTTTCTTGGTGCACAATGCAGTGATATTTCATTATATATATATATATATATATATAAGTTGCGCACTGTTCTAATCAATCTGATAAGTCCCTCTTTTTTATCGTTTATCAATTATCGCACGAGCACTAACAGTATATTTATTAATTAATTATACTAAATATACTAAATATATTTATTAATTTCATTGTTTCATATAAGTTAAAAGAAAAGAAGATCAGTTAGAAGATTAGAAGAAGAAGAAGAAAGATTGTGCATTAAAATGGCATAAAAGAAGCCATTTTTTTAACATTATCAATAGCGACGAATTGTCAAAGGTGATAGCGAAAGATTTATTATTAAAATTCCAATTTTTTTTATTAAAAATTATCTTTATCTTACAATTATCTTTTTGATTATTTTTTTTCAAGCATTTGATTACAATTAACCATTAATGAAAAATGCTAATTGGATAGTTATTTCGCTTCATTTTCTATTAGCTAAATTAGTAATTTGTTTTATTAACATCATTTTAAATAAATAATTTCAGAAAATTTATGCCCTTTTCTTTTTACGCCGAAAAAATGCTAATCATGATTTAATGCTAATAAGCATCGTCGAGTTAAATGAGGAATTTATTTTTGAAAGCAATGATTATTTTAATTTTAATTAGTTAGGATAATTAAATTGTCCTTTTTTAAGTATTTCTAATAAAATTATTGAAAATCAAAATTTTTCAAAAAAAAATTATATTAAATTCATGAAGCGCAAATAGCGTAAAGCTTTCGGTCAAATATCTAGAAATATTTCCATCCTTAAAGAAAACTGGAAAAAATACCGATTTAAAAATCAAAAATGATACCATTTTCTTATCATTTTCTGTTATCAAACATATAAAGTTTAAAAAATATTCCAAAAAATTTTTATTTGATTAACAATAGCTAATAGCATAAAAAATGGTACTTTTCCCTTACAATATTGTAAAGTCATATATCATATAACTCAATAGAACAAAAGCAAAGGCACTTTAGAAATTGGAAACTGGTAACCACACTAAGTACCAAACTAAAACGTACAACGAATAGTACGGCAAAAATAACTGTCCTCTATTGGTCAAATTTCTCAAAACATCGATCGAATCGTATAATATAATTTTGGGCAGCGCAATGAAATAAACAGGAATTTTGATTAGATTTCGATTTCCACTGATTTTAAACGGAGGCATTTTTAGCTAAAAATTTCTAGCTCTTCGAATTTTGCTTGGCAATTCAATAAAATTTGGCCCAAGATTTTTGAAAATTGGCATTTCTTATAATGTTGATATATAAGAATTTACCAACATTGAATATATATTTAATACTAATTTTAGGAAACCTCACCATTATTAAAACTTGCTCCGCTGGCTTGCCGCACTAGACAAATATATCAGAAAGTCTCTTGGCGATAGAAGTCGAGTCACCAGCTTCAACCACTGGGCCATTTTGAAGTTTACTCATTAATGGAATAGAACCTCAGCATCGGTGCTTCGAATTGAGCAATAACCTACTGAGCCATTTTGATTATTATTCAATATTACTTCAATTTATTTACATTAACATAGAGCTCAGAAAACCTCGAGTTTCAATAGATAACTTCGAGTCTATCTTATTCCTTTATAAAGACTATATATATATATATATATATATGATAAATGCATAAACGACCTATATAATATTCTCTCTGTTGAATCCGACTAATAAATCAGATTTCACAGCAGAAGAGGCTTATCACTTCACAGATGTAAATCAATGTTTTTTTTATTTGTTTATTTTTTTATTTATTTCTTATTTGTATAATTGAATTTGGCTTAAAATCGAGAAATTTTCATAAATATATAGTGCATTTCATTTATTGTTTATGAAATTTTTTTATATAAAATTGCTTATCAGTTGCTTATAATTTTTTATTTGCCGAATTATTCTAATTCATTTATGCAGGGACGAGTATTATTCGCGAGTGGCAGTCCATTTCCAAACGTGGAACTGAATGGGAAAATTTTCAAACCGGGACAGGGAAATAATTCGTACATTTTCCCCGGGGTGGCTCTCGGAATAATATTGTTCAAAGTTAGACACGTCGGCGACGATATTTTCCTTCTTGCTGCTCGAGCAAGTTTTATTCGCTTTTTTCATTCCTTAGTTCTTTTCGCTAATACAGAAATTTTGACGAAATATGTAAAAAAAATATGTAAATGACGAATTTCGTCTGAAAATTTCAATTAATCTAATTTCAGAAAGTTGCTTCATGTGTGAGCGACCACGATTACTCCGTCGGGCGAATATTTCCACATCTGAAGAGAGTGCGCGAGATTTCCGTACAAATAGCTGTCAAAATAGCGAAACATTGTTACAATGTATTCGATTTTTTAAAATTTATTTAATGTTATTTTTTATAAAGGCTTTTAAAATAATGGGAAATAGAATGAGGCAAAAACTCTTTTTTAAGAATCCACGACACTGGGTGAAGTTCTACAGGAGTGAACCTATCCGAAAATCCTGATGATACTGGTGACTCACTTATACTTCTATCGCCAAGAGACATATTATTGATATATTTCTTTTGTGCAATAAGCTAATGAAGCGAACTTAAACAGTGATGGCTCTTAAAAAAGATATTGGTTATATTAAGTAATTTACAGTAATTTTGATAGAACTTACGGCTGTGCACAATTGTTGCACATTTCTATAAGAACTTTAAACAATCTTAATATGGTAGCTCAATAGATTGTTGTACTCATTTGCGATTATATTCATAACGAGTAAATCTATACAAGAGGCCAAGCGATACTCGCTGGCACTTTTGTCACCAACTAATTTCCTAGCAAAAATGAATTTTTTAATCTTCCTCGTCGCATATTCATATTAGTATTATAAATATTATTCAAAAATTAGTTGAATTTTTTCATTGTGATTTTCAGAATATTATTATGCGAAAAAGAATATTATTTATATTATAAAAATTTTTTCAAAAAATGCTTAATATTATTTAATTTTAATAATTTTTTTATTCAAAATTAGTTATAATTCATTATTTCTAATTAATTTCATTAAAACAGATATTTATTTATTCATTTAATTTTTTTTTCTTTTAATTCTTTTATTTATTAATTTAATCAGTTCACTATCGATTAACATAAAGCAATTTCCTTATCAGTAAATCAGTAATCAACGTATCAAAGTTTTTCTTTTAAATTTAAGAAATTTGAGAAAAAAGACTGCCTCTCATCTCATTCATACTAAGCATATACTTTTTTCGTAATACTTTGTTAAAATTAGAATTTCTTCATAAACAAATAGTGAAAAATTTTACGACACCTTACGCTTCATTGATATTAAAAGAAATATTAATTAATTTGGAAAACTGTTTTGACCAATTAATTTCTTTTCATTATTGCATATAAATGAAAACATTTAAAAGAATTTTAAAAGAGATTAATTATCGAATCGACTTCCTTCAAAATTTTCGTTTGATTTATACTTTTATAATGAATTATTAATAATATGCGAATAATAATCGAAAATCTTTAAAATGAGAAAAATATTAAGTAAATAAATATTTTTTACAAATAATATTTTAAAAAAATTAACTATATTCTCGACGGAAATTAGTATTTTTTAAAAATTTACAAAAATTTTCATTATTTTAAATAAAAATAACCTATTGAAAATGATAATTTATTCATGCAATATTCATTAAGAAATTTGAAAAAATTCTTTTGAATTTTATTTTTTCGAATTTCTTAACAAATAATAAAAATAATATTAAAAAAAAAACAAAATTAATAACAAAAGAAAAATGCATGATTGCATATTTTATTTAAAAATATATTTAAAATAATAGAAGCAAACTTAATGAGGACTAATAAATGGTTTTTCATATAATAATTCTTTCCTATATAAATCGCCAATTAATCTTAGTTTATGTTTTTAATATGGAACACACTAGGTAGCGTGGATGCCATTTTCAAATTCTTCTGGTTACTTTATTAAAATGAATCAATTTAAACTTAAAAATTAACTTAAATTTTTGTTTTTAGAATTTACTTAAATTAAGTTCGATGATAAATTTCAAATATTTTATTTACTACAAATTTATAATTAAAATGAGCAAATTATTGGAATTGGAATTATCACCTCTATTTGTCCCAAATAGCAATTAAAATTAGCAGATTATCAGCAGAATTATCATTTTTATACGTTACAAACAAATAGCATAAAAGTACAAGTTATCAGCAGAATTATCGGCTATATTTGCCAGAAATAGTAATTAAAATTGGCAAATTATCAGTAAAATTATCTGTTTTACTTATCAGTACCAGTAAAACTAGCAAATTATCAATGAAATACCATCTTTTTTTGTTACAAATAGCGATTAAAAGTGACAAATGGTAAAAACAGAATAACCTTAGCTCTTGAGTGATTTTAAATATTTCTTTAAGACATAAAAGTGATTCCGATGTTTTAAACAGATAAAATTGCAGGTTTTACTATTTTAAAAGGAAAGCTTATATGCAAACTGATTCAATCGTTTCTTATCTCATAGTCGTGGTTATCTTTTTTTTTGAACTTTGATAATTTTTTTATGGGTTTTTCGATTTATTTCATAATGATTTATTTGAGAATCTTTCCATATAAAAATCTCGACAACTTTATAAAATCTCTTTTATTTATTTAATTTATTCATAAAGTGAGATATTCATAAAATAACTTAGGTGGGTTGTTGACTCCATTTTGGAACGCTAAAATTGGTCACTTCTGATAAAAGTAAATTTGCCATTCAAAATTTGTTAAACCCGAAAAACCAGTAGAACAAAGGTTATCAGAAGTGAATGGTGAGGACTCTTAAAAATAGAAAAATCCATTGAAGTTTTTATGTTAATTTAATAAAATTGTTCTTAGCTTGGCCGACCTAATGATAAAAAATAGATTTAAATTAATTAACAATTAATAACAATTAATAAGAAATTAATCAAAAATGAAAAATGACAAATTTCTCCAAAAGGCAAAAGTTATCTAAGTTCGAAACGGATTATCAATATTTATCAATATCAATTCTAATTATCAATATAATTACTATAATTTTAAATATTTTATCATGCCAAATTTATTTCTCAAATTTTCTTATCGTCTTATCCAGTTCCTATAAGTAAGAATTTGTAATCTTTCTCAAACCAACCTTCTATAAGTGATAAATTTTTTCGGCTTCAGTCAAACAAATTTTGTTTCTTTTTTCTGATAGGTCGATTAACTCTAATAATATTTTAGAGCGCTATTTTCGGACTGATAACAAATGGAGCCTCAATATACACAATATGGCTTTCAGGAATAATGAAAAGTCCGTTTGGGCTAATTTGCACATCTATTGGTGGCTTAAATTCAACTTTTGTTATTCTTATATCGAGCTACATGATTTTAGCAATTAACAGGTTGAACTTTCATTTTACTTCTGAATTAGAAACAACTGCCTCTATTTATTTTCCGTTTATTTAGTTAATCTCATATTTTTTTTTAACCAACTAGTTAAATGATGCGAAATTTAATTGCCGAAAAAAACAAACAAGATCACCATTAAATCTTTATTCTTTAAATCTTTAAAATCATTGATAAATCACTGATAATAATTTCACATTTAAAAATTATCGAACTGAAAAAAGGCCATAACGAAATTTATTATTCGTTTTTAATGAATTTTTTGTTTATTTATTTTATATTTATTTTATAGTTTATTTATTTATTTGTACAGAAGAACAATCCAAATTTAATAGCAATAGCAATCCAAAACGCTTCTAATTAATTATCATAAAAAACCTGAAAAGTTAACCAACCAAATATGATTTTAATAAACGAAAGAAAAAAACCGTTATATTGGTAAAAATGCTCTGAGGTTGTCTTTGTGCTGAAATAAAATCGTCGATAATTCTGTCCAATTTTAATTTTGAATAAAGATTTTTTTGGCAGAGAGGCTAATTTCTTTGGACAATTTAATGCAAGAAAACTAACCGAGATATTGAGTATGATTTTTTAACTTTTAGTCCAGAAGACAAAAAAAAATAAGAAAATTTATTAATTTTCTAAAAAAATAGAATGGCTTAGTGGGTTGTTGCTCAATTCAAAGCACCGATGTTGAGATTCTATTCCTCGCAACAGTAAAACTCAAAAATCCGAATCAGGCTGATGCTGATAATCACCTGTATTTCTATCGCCAAGGGATTTCCTGGCATATTTGTCCATTACGATAAGTCAGCCGAGCGAGTTTAACCAGTAATAGTAAGGACTCTTAAAAAAAAAATTTTTTTAAAAAGTCGACTATCCCTTCAACGCTGATTTCAGGCAAATTATGCCAGAGAAATCCGAAAATATAATTGGCCAACTTGTGATGAGCATCTGTTTCTCAAGTTCACTCTTGCTTTTCCTCATAAGTATAAATCGCTTCTATTCTATCGTTCGACCATTTCAATATTTGGAGAAATTCGGTGGTTATAGGACAGTTATTTTTATCGTACTAATCATTGTTTTTTCGTTTGGTACTTGGTGTGGATTAAAATTCTGTAAGTTCTACTTTTAACTTTTGTTTTGCTCAAAAAAAAACATAATATCTTTATGATTCTGTCTGATATGAGTTCCGAAGAGAAATTTTTTAGAAATTTTTTAAAAATTTTGGCCTAAACTCATACTGATAAACTGATAAACTGAATAAGCTTGATAAGGAAATTTGGTCCAATTTTTTGATTATTATCAATTTTTCTAATCAAATTTGAATCAAACTTTTTTCTTTTAAAGTTTGTGGATGCTCATATATATTTGACATAACCTCCTATCTATGGCGCTTTATGGATACGAAATGCGGACGATTCATATCTAACTTATATTTTTTATATCAAATATTTTTGTACGCTAGTATAATTTTAATTGACATTATTGCATTTCATCGAATTTTTATGATTAAAAAGGTTTTTTTCATAATTTCGCCTTTTTTTTAAAGAAAAAACATAATTAATCAGGAAGACATCATCTCATTTTTTTGGCTAATTTTTAAATTCATCGTCTATGAGAAGATAAAATAACTTTATAAGACTTCTTAAAAATCTTAAAAATTTTTATTTTTTCTCAATATTAGCGTTCTTTTTCGAAATTTTCGATATTTTAGAAGAATCACAGCATAAAGCCAAAGCTTTGCAATATTTCGAAATTACGCATTGAAATAATTTGCTTTTCTCAGGTTAATAATAATATTAATATTATATATTTAATATTATTATTTTATTTTATTCAATGTTATTTATTATCATTAATATAAATATTAATTATGTATTATTGGTTATCACTTATCATTAATATTATTTATCCAAGTCATCTATTTTATTAAATATTTTTCTTTAATTAATCGAAAAGCCATTAGATCTGAATAAAACCAGAATAAACTCGATTTTTTACTCTTTTAAATTGTTCTGTTCATCTAGGCGAAATATTATAGAACGAATTTACAGTTAATTTAAACTAGCGTGTTGATACGTTGATTTTTTAGACATGCTCGAGTTCTCTATTCAAAATAATCCTACATATGATTTCCATTTTCGTGATACCTCACTGTACTTCGACAATGGCAACTTTTTCATTTCGTACATTAAACTTATTATTGGCAATGTCTTTCGATGGGTAATTTTATTTAATATATATGAAAATAAAGTTCCATAAGATCGATTAAATCTATTTCAGCTTAATATTCACAATTTGTGAATGGGAAGTATTTCAACGTCAGCGAAAAGTAACGCCTTTAAAAACTACTACAAATGCAAGCAAAGTACCAACAAATCACTTGCGGAAAAAGCCACTTGAAAAACGCGATACTATGTTTCATTTGAATGTGAAAATATTCAATTAATAAAAATATTCAATAAATTATATTTTGCTTTAATATAGTTTTTTTTCAAAAATTGCTGCAAAATTCAATAATTATTATATTTTTTTTGCAGCTGAATTAATGAATAGTTGAAAAATCTTTTTTTTCTTTAAAAAAATCTGGTTTTTTTGTGTTGTTAAAATTCTTGCTATTTGCTATTTTTTTCAGTTGTACTTTTAAATAATTGAATAAATTTTTGCTAGAGGAAAAGAATATATTTGATGGATAATAATTAATGGATAGCTAATTTTCCAATTAAACAACTGTAAATAGCATAGCGATAAATATGAAAAATATAGATGAAAATTTGATAAATTTGATATTTCAATTATTTTCATAACTGCCGATACGATTAGTGATTAAAACGATTAATAAATGAACTAATAAACTGATAATTTGAATTTTTTTGCTAGATACATCGTAAATAAAACAAAACTTTCATTTCCATGTTTGCAAAAAAAAAAATTCGCGAATGATTATTTTCTTTTCTAATTTAATCATTGCTTCTATTCTTGGAAAAATCCATATTAAGTAATATTTTTAAAATAATTGCGTGTTAATTACTTCGTTCATGCATAATAATAAAATGCGCCTTAGTGTTTTTCTCAAAGTACAATGCGATGGTCAAGATAATTCTTAAAATCATGCAAAATTCAAAAACTTCACTTCTTCGATCTTCTAATATTTTTTATCGTTCTCTAACAGCTACTACTATTGCTCATACCATTGGCTTGGCTCATTCTTACACATATGGCTGCGCTAACTACGTCTGCAAAATCTTTCCTGATAGATCTAGATTTAGTTGGTCCTCCTCGCTTTTGAAACGATCCAACAGAGTTTAGCGAGCATGGAATGGATGATGAAAAACATGGCTAAATCAGTGCAGGTGACGCATTGTGACAATATTTTAAAAATATATAATGTAATAAAATTTTTATTATAAATGGTAATATAAATGGCAGCTGAGCAATCGTGGTAGCTAACACAATCATGTAGGAATTTATTTAATTTGCAGGATACTCCTCTCGAATTGGCTAAGTTTCGCAGCTTTATAGCAGAACTAAGATGTATGCGAAAATTTGTTTCTGTAGTTAATTTCACGGCAATTCCAAAATAGCGCAAAATAATCTTCGCCAAACGAAAGAGGGCAGGTAATGTCCTTGTTATCAGCGAAAAGGATTATCATATGTTTTCATAATATTAAACTCTGGATTGATCCATAAATCTTTTGAGCAAACGGCTTAAACTTAGGCATAAACATACTTCTTTTATAAATATAATTTAAATTAAAATTAATATTAATATATTAATACATTAATATTAATCATTTATAAAATATTTTTTATAAATATATTTTAAGCTATATACATTATTATTTATTACAATTGCTAATTATTATTGTTCAAGAACAAATAAGATTATATATTTAGTGAATAATTTCTTTCGTCCAATTCTTATCTTATCAATCCTTACCATGATAAGTTAAATACTGCTTTGAATTATCGATCCATGTTAATACCCTCATTTTCGAGAAATCTTATCAGATAGACAATGGAAGATACTCGTTTCTGACTGTAAAATGGTTTCAAAAAGCTCTACAAAAAATTATTTTATTCCTCGCAGCAAAATTTTATTTCGCGAATAGCTAAAATAAATTTGATCCAATATTATTTATTTTTCTCTCAATTAATCTCAATTAATATTGTGTAATTTTGTAGTAATTTTTCATTTGAAAAAAATAAAAAATAATAGAAACTATTGTCAATTGCTAACTTGGAAATCTGTTGCCAGCGATTATTAATTGTAACTTACAAAAATTCTTTATTGCTCTATTTTCTGTTAATTTTAAGATTAGTAGAAATAATTTTGCAAATTATTCACTGAAATTTATATATTTAATTATATATAATTTATACATTTATATATTTAATAACGAATAGGCTATTTATAAACCAAAGTTCTCTTCTTCCTCATTTCCTTATTTCTCTTTTTTTTTAACCGCTGTTCACTAGTTTTTTTCCGATTCCATCGGATCTTTACGACTTTTTACCACTAAGCACTTATTATTGCCAAGTTTGTCGCATAAATAAATTTAAACCAAACAAATGTTCTCGATAACTAATCGATGCAGTCATTTTTCTCCGGCAAAATATTATTCTTTTCTCATGGATATTCAATTCATCCTCTGGCAAAGTAAACTTTCGTAAACTCCTATTATGATTTTTATTATCATATGATTTTTTGAATTGTTTTTTTGGCCACTCCATCTCTCTACCTATAATATTATTTCAGTTAACCTACAATTGTTCGCCGAGAAGAGGCATTTATTTTTACTGCAAAGACAGGTGTACGTTTTTCTAACTATAAACAAATAATAAATAAATAATAATAATTAATAAAAAATTACTGATTTATTTTTTAGTTAACATCATTTCAAAAGGAAACATCCAAAAAAAAGATAAAATTTTAATGAAGAATTGATAACCAATATAATATTACACAATATTGTAAAATTTTTGTAGTCTCCTGGAGATCAAAAGTTTTGAATTTTGATTTTTTTGTAATTTTATATTTTTTTATCAGAGATTATTTGATAAGGCATATGGAAAAAAAAGATACAAACGAACGTTATCATAAAAGTTAACTGTGTGATAATAAATTTAATTGCAAAAAAATCAAAACTCTTTACTTATTGATGGTGAATTTATTAAAATACGAATGGAAAGCGCAAACATTGAAAGAAAAATAACAATAAAAAAAAAAGTTCTATTCTAAACATAATTTTTATCACTATTTTATAGCATGGAATTGAAGAAATAGAAAAAAATCTATTAAAAATCTACTAAAAATAAGTTTTGAGAAAAGTTACCAATTTACAATTTTATAGGCACTGATAGCGTTTCTGCAATTTTCATTTAAAGAAAGAAATCTAGAAAATTATTGGAAGATACAATTGCGGATGGAAACTCACGTTTGATGAAATACTGTTTAGTGCATGAAAAAAATTATTGTACAAAAAAATGGGTAGCGTTATCACTCATCAAAGTAAAATTTCATAAGATCGAAGAGAGCAAATCATTGCCAATTTGTCAAAAATATGATATGATAGTGACTATAAAGATACCATTTTTTTTCGAAAACAAGGAAAATTTTATTTTATGAAAATAAATTTTATTTTATGAACAAATTTTATTTGATGAAATGAAATAAATTTATCGATGGAATTATAAAGAAAACTGCCTGAATTTGTTGGCGAAAAAATGACTAATAAATTTTTAATAAACTTTATCGTTTATTTAATTGAATTGATTGATCTTGAATTGATCTTCAAAGGTGATAATCAATTTAAGAAAAATAATTGAGATAGTCAAATACAATAAAGTATTTAGTAATAAGTAAGAGAATGACGTTCAATATTTTTGCTTCGGCTAGGTTTTCAATCTACGGACTGTTAATATCGAAATTTTTATCACTTAGCGATAGAAGTATTGATGGATTGCTAGCGCCACACGAATTGTTTTAATGAAAAATTTACGCTATGGAGGATAATAGTCGAATTTTTCAATATGTTTGACCCTGAGCCACTATTCGGTTATTCTCTCCTCGATTCTCAAGTGATTTTCAAGTAGGACAGTGTCACTTTCTTAGCAGCCAATGGAAGAAAACCAAAAAAACAAATGATATTTTACTATTAAAAGAAAAACTGTTTGTAAAAAATTATATTATATAAAAAATTATATAATTGATTCAGATGGATAAAGTAAAAAATTTAAAAAAAAATTAAAAAAATTAAGAAAATTAAAAAATTTTAAGAAATTTAAAAATTTTAAGAAAGAAATTTTTTAAAAAAATTAAAAAATTTTATTTATTATTTTCTAAATGATGCTTCATATTCTAGTCAAAGTATTTCGTTGTTCTGCTATTGTTCTACTCCGCCACAGATTCGATTTATCTGCTTTATCTCCGTTCTTATTTTTCAAAGGCATTACTCGTTTTCGGCGTTGAAATGCCTTCCATTCACAGAATGTGAATATCAAGCTGAAATACGTTTAATTAGCCTTAGATCAGCAACTAGTCAATGTTTTCAATTCTTAAAATTTTTTATTTCTCATTCGTCTTCTAATAGTTTTCATCATTACTGGTTGGCTAAAAGAGTGAGGGTTTTTTATAATGACAATTTTTTTTAAGAGTAGTCCTCACCATTACTGGCTAAAATCGTTCCGCTGGCATTGGACAAATATGCTAGAGAATTATTTGGGAATAGAAGTACAGATGAATCGCCAGCATCACTCGGATTTTCGGACAGGTTTACTCCTGCGAGAAATAGAACCTCCGCATCGGCGCTCCAAATTTAACTACAACCCATTCTATACGATAATGACAATGTAGGTATTCATTATAGACACTCTTTGAAACAAATTTCTGATTTTTTAGATGAAGTTTTATCTTCACCTTTCACTTCCCCGTGCCCCCCTTTCCCCGCCTTCTCTTATCTCCCATTTTCATATCGAAAAAATTGTTTTTAAAAATAATTAATTATTACCCATCGAAGACTGTATCCAATAGCCAAATTAATGTTCGTAAAGAAAAAGCTCCCCATTTCGAATTAAAATGTGGCGTCAAGAAAGTGGAGACCAGATAAAGGCTTACATAAAGCAAAGAACTCGAACATGTCTTAAAAAATTAATATTTTTATTAAAATCTTTTATGAATCGAAGATATAGAATTTTTATTTGTCAATGATTATAATTTCTCGATTTTTGAAAAATTTCGAAAAGTCAAGTTTTTTTCTAAAATAAATCAACGGCTTTTCTTTTTGCAGTTTAATAAAACTATTAATAATTAATATAATAAACAATAATAGTAATATATATTAAAATTACTAACTTGAGAAAAACAAATTATTTCAATGCGTAATTTCGAAATATTGGAAAACTTTGGTTCTGCTCTGCCATTCTTCTAAAATATCGAAAATTTCATAAAGATTTGTGGAGGCGATTTTAAGCAAAAAAAAAATGTCATTTGCTATAATTTTTAGGAAATCTCAAAATTGTTTTATCTTATAGGCAATGAATTAAAAATATTCGAAAAAACAGAAGGTTTTGCAGATTAATTGCGTCATTTTCCTGAATTATTAAAAGTGCAAAAAAAAATATCGTGGAAAAAACCTTTTTAATCATAAAAAGTCGATGAAATGCAATGATGTCGATCAAAATTATGCCAATATACAAAATTGTATGATATAGAAAAATACAAATAGCTATAAATCTTCCGCATTTTGTATCCATAAAACGCCATCGGCACAAATTTATGTCAAATATGAACGAGCATCCTCGATCTTCAAAAGGATTGATTGGGAAAAAACTGATTGATAATCAAATTAACCACATTTTTCACCATCAAACCTATTTGTTTCCTATTTGTTTCCTATTACGTTCACATTAGAATATCCTCTTCCTTTTCATGCTTGCATGCATTTGCATGCATCATGCAATTCAGCAAAGCGAAAAGCAAAAAGCACTTACAGAATTCGGAGCTACACCAAATACTAAATGAAAAAACAACGATCAATATAATAAAATTAGCTGTCCTCTTTCCACCAAATTTCTCCGTATATTCAAATGGTCGAACGATTGAATAAAACCGATTCACACTAATGAGGAGATGTAAGAGTGTGCTTGAAAAATAAATGCTCATAACAATTCGGCCGATTATATTTTCGGATTTTTCCGGAATAATTTGCCTAAAATCAACGTACATAATTTGAATAAATAATTTTTTTATTCCATTTGACTAACTGAAAACTAAAATTATAGCGAGGAATTCGAATGGAATATAATAGTTTTTTCATCGAGGGCTATTGAATATTGCAATAAATTGCCTAATAATATCGTTTCTGTACCATAAAAATCTATTTTCAAAAATATTTGATAGAATTATCCATGACATTAGTCTTTGGCGAAAAGTCAACCATTTTGTCTAGCATAACGTCTTTGTTTTTTTTGGTTCTTTGTTGATCCTTTTTAGCAAAGATATATATTTTTAAGAGCTCCCTTCATTACTAGTTAAATCGGCTTTGTTAATTTGTACAAAACATGCATAACATATATTCCAGGGAGTCCTTTGGCGATAGAAGTACAGGTGAGTCACCGGCATCACCCGGATTTTTAGACAAGCTTGCTCCTGCGGAGAGTCGAATCTCAGTCGAATCAACACTCCCAATTGTACAACAACCCACTGAGCCATTCTGACCACCTATTAAAATTATATTACTATTATATTATATTATATTAAAAATTATATTAAATTTTTAATTTTTAAGTTTTCATGTTTTTGGTATTCATGGAATAGCTTTGTTTGATCTCTTTCGATGCGAATAAATAAATAAAATCTTGAGCAACAAATTTTCGCAATTATCGGCGATATTAATTTTATTTATGATGAAGCAATTTGGTTGTTTATTGTTATATAAAATTAAATTTTATTTTAATTTATTTGTTTCATCTAAAAATATTTTTTGATTTAAAAAAAATGCTATAAGATTAATATAAAATATCAACGTATATCATTTCAACGTATATTATATGTATAAGTAAAATGTAGAAAATTTTTTCACCACTTAATTGCTATGACCATATAAATTGATATAATAATAAGAAAAATGCAATTTAAGCTGCCAATAACTGTGCAAAGTAGCCCAAATGGACTTTTCATTATTCTTGAATGCCATAGCGTATATATCGAAGCTCCATTAGTAAACAGCCCGGAAATACTGATCTAAAATATTGTAACCAACGATTAATCAGAAAATAGAATTTATTTGATTGGAACCAAAAAAATTTGTTAATTATGTAAAGTTAGTCGAGAAAAAATTGCAAATCCATGGTCGCGAGACTAAATAAATTAATAGGAAAACTTTAGCAATAAATTCGACAAATATTTGAAGAGACTGTTTGGAATTATATATATATATATATATATATATATATGTAATTATGCTTGGACAACCATGGATTTCGATAATTTTTCAATTATCGAAACAAATTTTTGTCCTTATCAGTTATAAAATTTCTAGCCATATAAAGAATAATTTGAAACGTTAATGAGCATTTGAAAATATCGAGGATTTAGTGTCAAATGAATCGTGAATAAATTTTTTTTTATATTGAAAAGATAAAAATTATTAATAATCTAATGAAAAAAAAAATAACCACAATTATGAGATAAGAAATGATTGAATCAGTTTGCATATAAGTTTTTCGTTTAAAATCGCTGAAAATGTTTTTTCTTTAGAATATTATACAAATATACATTTTAAATATATGCATATCGCTAATTTTAAAATAAAATAAAAGTAATAAAAAATAAAATAGCAACAAAAAATACAAAATAAATAAAGTAGCAACAAAAAATACAATATAAAAAATAATTTAATATCCTTTAAACTAAGGCTAAGGCTGACTAATAAATATTTATAACAATTTTTTAGAATAAATTTAGCTCGCTCCATAAAAAAATTTCAAATATCTCATGTGGCAATAAAGAAAATTAGAAATTTAACGAAAATATAGAATACAAAAAAAAATTGAAAACTTAAAACTTAGTAAAACTTAGGAAATTTACATTAGTTTATTAATTGTAATGAAATATTCAGAAAAATTTGAGGCTGATTCGTACGCTAACAAATAATTCATAATTATAAAAATTCAAATTCACATTAATTGGCATCTATAAAGTTTTATGTAGAAAAAAAGTTTATTTAAAAAAACTATATTTGTACTCTTAATTAACTTATTTAGTTTATTTAAAATAAATGAAATGAATAATGATAAATATTTTTCCTATATATTTTAAGATATTAATTATTTAAAGAATTTTGAAGAATAAAAGGAAATTTTAATGGAAATAACGCGGAAATTATTTTCTAATAGGTACAATTAATGAATCATAATAATTAAATATTAAATACTACAGTAATTAAATATTAAATACTACAGTAATTGAATAATTAAATTTTTAAATATTTGTCATTCTAAATAAATATTTTTTATAAAATAAAAAAATTTTTTATAAGAAAAATTATCAGAATTCAAAAAATTTTTTCCTAGTTTTTTTTTTCCATTTCTAATATTTCCAATTATAATTGAGAATTTATCTCCATGAAATTCTCGTTTTATAAATTTCTTAATTTATAATTTGTGCATTACTTATTACTTACTTATTTGAAAAAATAAATCTTTTAAAATTTATCATTATAGTATTTGTCGTTATAGTTATAGTATATTCAGATTTTCTTCAATCTAACAGAAATATCATAAAAATTGGAATCGATTCTTAGTTTTCTACTTTTTTTTGCTTAATTATATGCAATAAATGAGAATAAATTAATTGGTCAAAAGCAGTAATCTCATTTTTTCATTCTTATGAAACATATGATGACACGAAAATTGTTGAATTATTTAAGACTGCCTGGCCAGAAAATCTAACCGGAACAATAAAAGACGAATAGCATAGACTAGAAATTGGATTGAATCGAATGCTTGATTAGCATGAACACTCTTGAATAAAGTTATTACTGAATATGAAATAATTTACAGAAGGCTTCAAAATTTTTAAAAAAAAACTATTTTAGAAAAATGAGCTAATCTCCGATTAAATATGAGAAAAATCTAATATTTTTTTTTGTTTCGTAATATGAAATTCAAAATTTATCAATTTTTTCTTTGTTATGAATTTTTTTCTCATTAGTCTGGAAAATTTTCCCAAAATATTGCAATTTTATCAAATGAATATAAAAAACTTATCAAATGAATGCATTTGGAACGTATGAAGTTGTTCCGAATGAAATAAATGAAATTAAAAATAATAAGCCAAATTCAATTTTAATTAAATAATTTATTAAATAATTTATATTTTATAATTAAATTTATATTTTATAGTCAAATATTTTATATTTATATTTTATAATCAAATAATTTATATAAGAAAAATTTTAATAAAGTAATAAAGTAAAGAATAAAGTAAAAAAAAAATAAAACATCAAAATTTTAACAATTTTTTAAATTTTTTTTACAGTTTTTTTCAGTTTGAAAATCACAATAAAATATTTCGCATTTTTATTAAAACATTCACGATGACTGTAAAATACGAAAAAATTCAAAATATTGAGAAAAACATATGGCATATGGAATATGAGAATTTTTATTTTATTTTAACTTTTTATTATATTATTTATTATAAATAAAATTTTATTCCATTAAAACTTAAAATTCTCACACTCAATTTATTTATTCTCATAATAGGCTTTAACGCCTTCAGCCTTTATTCGAGATAGTCTAAATTTATTATTCATTTACTCAAAAATATTTTCAAATGCTAATTTTAAACTGTAATTCGCTATTTATTCTAATTCGAATAGATTTGATCTATAAATTTTTCTAAACGAAGCGAAAAATAGAGTTTTAAAATGGTATTAGAATGATAGTTCAGAATATTTTGCAAAAAAAAAAAATTAAATTTTTTCTCTCAATTTTATTTATTTTATTATTATTTTTTTAAATTTTCAAAATATATTGGCTTATTTTCTTAAATTTTATTAATTCGCTCATTAATAGAATGCGAGAAATTCGCCTAAATAATTTATTACCACAATTTTTGCACATAAAGCGAACCAAAATTGTGTACAATATACAATATTTATAATAATTTTTAAGTTTTTATTTTTCTTATGTGCATTGTTTTGATTTTGCATAAAGTTGCTGATAAGCGGCATGATGAGCAGTGTTTGTTTTTAAATCAAAATAGGTATAAATTCGATTTTAATGTTCCATAATTTACATTATAATTTATAAAATGATCTCTAGCAAATTTGAGAAACGTTGGTATAAACTATAATTTGCACAGGCATAGTAGAAAATCTGTCATTAAAAAATCAAAGTAATGCTGGGATTTATTTGTTTCTTCAAGCGCTTTTTTGATGAAAAAATCTCTACATACTTATAACTAATTAAGCGAGCGTCACCAGAAATTGTGAGCTATAACCACTTGTTCTTCTTCTTCTTCCTATAACAGCTCTTACCATAAATGGTTAGGCTGACTCCACCGGCTACAAGCCATTGCTAGTAGTAATAGAAGAAGTTTCTTCCATCGTCTAAATCCATATAGTTAAATCCATATAGTTATATAGCATTTATTATAGTTAAAAAAATAGAAATGATACTGACTAATTGTAACGATGGTCAGCCATCGTCTTTTCCTATTTTTAACTCCGAAAGTAGTGAATCATGGAAGTTTGAATTGTTTTCTTTCATTCAATACCGATGCATGCTAAAAGTTGGCTCGAAATATTTGTACAACTTAGCATAGCCTTATCGATATGCCCATTTACATGTGGTAATAGACCGGTTGCTGGTGGAATATGTCCAGATGAAAACGAAAACTGTAGGGCTCTATTCGCTTTAGACCTTAGTTGCAGCGCGGACTTCATGAAGAGATATTGCAAGAAAACGTGGGGACTAAAGGACTACTAGGTTGATTTTCGATATTTTTACCATTTTACTTAACAAAGAGCAGTTTTTATATCATAACCTTCTAGAAATAAATAATGCTTCCAGTTAATGGCAATTAATTTAAATGTTATTACCTATTAAAACAAAACCTTGAAGAAATCTTTTTTGTTGCAGTAATGCAACTTCATCCTCGTCGTCAACTTGCACCGATCTGCACCGTCAGTGTCGAGAAAATTCCCAGTATTGCAATATTGGCGACTGTGTGCTGTTGTAATGAGAAGAGTTTGCAGATTAATTTGCCATCATTGCACTCCTTAGAATCAACTTTTTTATAATACTTTTTAATCATACCTTTGATGAAATATTTCTGATCATTAGTGCGGCTTTAAAAATATCGTCTTAATATCTTGAATATGCTTTTATGAACAGCCATCTTTTTTTCTCTTTCTTCTAACGGCTCCTACCATTACTAGCTAGGCTGGTTCCACTGGCTACAAGCGATGTTTCCAAACTGCACTCCATCGTCTATATAGTCCTTCTAATCACGTATCACCTAAGTTCTTATCCAAAGGCGAAGGATGTAGAATGTGCCAAGATTACAGATTTTTCAGTGAAGAAACTCGGTTAGATCCTTATTCTCAACCACTTTTAGATGGTATTATTATTCCCTCTTCTTCATCTAATAGTTTTCACCATTACTGGTTAGGTTCTGCTGGCTACAAGAATAAGAAGTTTCCAGGCTGCCACCGCTAATAATAATAGAAGCCATTCTTTTTTCCATCCTCTAAGTTCATACCCCTGATGCCCCTATATCTTTCCTGACGGTCCAGGTCTTGATTGGCTCACCTCGCTTTTGACGCCAACCAAGATTCAGCAAATAGCGAAATATGCGCCAGCTCCTGCGGCGCCCTTTCTCTCGCAATATTCCACTATGCGATAAAATGGATAATAGCTTGTATCTCTT